TTCCTTTCCTTTCCTTCCTTCCTTTCCTTCTTCCCTTCTTTTTAATTGTTTTGAGACAAGACCCTGCTGTGTAACCCAGGATGACCTTGAACTTACTGTGTAGTGATAGGGCAGTCTCGAACTTTAGCGCCTCCTCCTCCCACATGCTGGAATTACAGGCACAAGCCTCCATACCCGTTCTTTATTCTTTTCACCCCTCCCATCTGACCGTCTTTGCCAAGGCTTATACTCGGCACCTTCTTACACCTCATTGCCTCACCCACCTCTAGGCTTTGTGAGCTTTTAAGTTAATTGGCTCTTCTTTAGAATCTAGGCAAATACCCAAATAATAATAATAATAGCAATACTTCAGAGGATTAACATGAATTGAGCTGCTCTAGTCATAATCACATCTTGCAGCATTCGGGGTGACTAGGTAAGCCTGACTCAGTGGCCCTTTATAGATTCTGATTTTCTTCAGGGTTGAGTTGTCTTTTTGCCAACAGGCTTAGGAGACCATGCTCCTTTTTTTATCAAAAATCAAGATATATGTTACTAGGAAATGTGTGAGGAGGTGACTGTAAAGGTAACATTGTGCAGACCAGCATTTTCATCATTTCAGACCCTAAAATGATCACCAACAAGTTTTTTTTTTTCTTTCAAAGGAGATAAAGTTGATACAAATAGACTTAAAGCTGTTTTGGAAAACCTCGGTATTGAACTCAATCCTAACCAACACTCAAGTCTGCTGAATATGTTGCCAGTTGATGGTAAGTGTCATGGGTACCACCGGGGCTTGTTAGATAGTTTGGTTTTGTGTCTATGTAAAGAGATTCCCAAACACACCAAAAATGCTTGAAAACTATTAAAACCTAATGATGATGCAAATAAAATCTCATCACTTAGATCTTAATCTAAAAATCATCAAAATTTCAGCTATAGGTTTGCACCAAAGTGCTATGCTGGATTTGTTTTTTAAAGAGGAACAGGGAGGGAGGGAAGGGAGGATGGGGGAGGGAGGGCAAGAAAGTAGAGGTGGGCAAAAAAGGAATGAGAGCAGAGGGGCAAGAAGAACTAAATAACATAGCTGCATGTTTTTGCAGGAGTAAAATATGTGCTTTATCAAAAAGATGATTTTATAAATGAAAAAGACTGAATTGTTAAAATCATATGTGTGCATGTGTGCCGGATACATATGGGCACATGCATATGTGGAAACCAGAGGACAATCTCAGATGTCATCCTCAGACTCTTGCTGGTCTGAAGTTTACCCACATGGCTAGCAGGGCTGGCCCATGAGCTTTCTGACCCTTTTGGTCTCCACCCCGTCTGGAATTGCAAGCCCACCATGCTATCATACAGGTTCTGGAGATGCAACTCGGACTCTACTGCTTGCAAGGCAAGCACCTTACCAATTGACCCACCCCAACCCCAGGCCAAAAAAATGGATTTGGATATAAAATAAAACTAAAAAGAAATCATGGAAACAAAAAATCCATTCAATTCCATAGATCAAAGACAAGGCCTCTAATTTTCATGGATTCGCTCTCTGTGCTTTTCAGACATGAAGTGACTGATTATTTGATGGATATTTGTGATTGTATTAACTTATCTATTAACCACTCTTTTCATGGTGTGAATATATGTGCTGACTATAGAAATCCTTGGTGATACAAATAAGCAAAAGGAAAACTATGTCTAGTCCTTCTTTAAAATTGGGCCTGCTGTCGGAATTACGATACATGGACTCCTGTGTCCTGTCTGTAAATGTGTCTTCCGTTAACTTCATACTCTTACAGATAAATCTACACTAACCGCCTGGAGTCTCTGAAGTCTCTGGAGACTTACCTGTAGCATAGAAGGTATTTTGTTTATGGACTGAGTTTCCTTCCGGAGAAGCTGTTGTAATTTGCATGCCCATGTGCAGCGGCTCACTTTGAAGTACAGGAAAAAGGGAGATTTTAGACATCTCATTATTATTTGAATTTCACTCATGTGCCACAGAGACCCCCAGCATTTTTGTTCATGTATTATCTGTATATATTTAAAATGTTCTTTAGGCAAAGATTTTTTACTTCCCTTTTCTCTGAGGTGGGAGTTGTGTGCCATCTTTTCCCAAAACACCTTTTTTTTTCATTTTATAGATGATGGAAGAGTTTTTCAGAAAAGGTTGAAGAAGGGCGTGAAGTCTCTTGAAGGTAAGGCCATTCTTTGGATGTGAGAAGAGGCACCCTTCTTTCTTGAACTACTGTATCCTCACTTATGCCAAGTACTTGCCCACACTAGAAGTGTTTGGCTTCCATGGATTTTCCCTGTTCTGGGCCCTAAGCGGGAATTGTTTTAACTAGAAAATGAAAAGAAATGAAGGGCGTGGTCTCTCACCTAAAGACTTGGGTCAAAACTAGAGAGCAATCATTTGCAGGAGTATACAACAAAAATAATTCTTGTTCTACATGTCAGTCAGCTTTACCTCTGACTTTTCATTGATTCTTTAAGGTGGTTTTGCTCTGTAGGCTCGTGCCCAGCAGGAGAATTGAGAGAATTTTACCCTCCCACTCACTGAGCGACACTGAAAGTTTGGTGTTTATCTTGAAATCAGGACAATAATATCAAGAAATGAGTGGGGTTTTTTAAATTATAATAAAATGGGTGAGCATCGTTAAAGAGAAGACACTACAACAGCATAGCTGTATAGTCCAGTAGAATTGTTCTGTGTCACTCAATTTGCTTCCTGTCCCCAACTCAGAAGGCAGTGTTGATGTCGACAGCCTGGATACATTTTTAGAAAACATGGGGATCCAGATCACAGAGGAAGAATTCACGGAGCTGACAAAACGACTACCAGAGAACAGTGAGTGCTGGGGCCTCCGGGGGCAGGGAAGAGTATGCATTCCCTAGTCTTGAAAACAAGAATTTCTCCAGCCAGACTTTAACTTTATTGCCAGGAATCTAAAATCCAGTTTCTTCCACATGGATACCAAACACTACACAAGACAAAGCCGAGACTTTAAGCCAGAGAACGATCAGGGAGTAGAAACCAGAATAAAGGGTTTGCAGGAACATCAGTCTGGCTGCTTCTCCTTACATGTCCCAACAACCAGCAGCTCTGTTGAAAGCTTCTGCACCCTAGCACACTGCAGTGTCCCCATAGCCAAATCCAAATGCACGACTCTGGCACCTTTAATGCTTCTTGCTTTTATTGCCACCCTGTATTCCCAGGTGTGTAAATTCCCAGAATGATTTCCCTTTCTGCCTTTGCCGAGGTTCAGCTGTTTCTTTCCCCAAACCAGCGGGTTAAGTGTTCTTAAAGGAATTGTATAGAACAGAATAGAACATTTCAGAGCTGTACCACAGAGTGTTACATAAATTAGTATGTTCAGAGTTCTTAGTGTTGCTTATCATAAAGACAATTTCAACACTGTCATAGTTACAGTAATGAACGGTTCTAACCCTAGTCTACTGCTTTTCCACAACCCTGTTTCTCCTGGATTAAGTCACTTACTTATTGCATTAGGCTTAAAATGTCACCTCTTTTACCTTAAACCTGGGTTTCAGACTTATGGGTTTCAGTCTAGGGGAGTAAAGTTTTTATTAGTGACTGAGACAAATAGTTGATGTGATAATCTCATAAAATTTTATTTCAGTGAAAATAAATGGATCCAAGGTCACATTAATTTAATGCAGACATATTCTTTGGAGGACCTCTTATATAGTTATACTTTTTATCATTCCAAATTTCCCTTACTTTTAAGAACAATGTACTTTTTTTAACGTTTGCCAGAAACTTGCAATCAGTATCTGCCTGAGTTTTCCTTCTCCCGTTTCCTTAGAATTAGCCATCCCAAATTCAATACAACTTTTTAGCAATTTACCTTTAACCAAACTTTATAAACCTTCAATTTTTCCACAGGAAAAATTCCCTTTTCCATTTTTCACTTTGTCAGTTTATATAATGGTTAAAAATGTCAATTTAGTGACACGTAGAACTACTGACCAGCAAGTCTAGAAATGAACTCAACAGTTCAATCTGTATGAATATGTATTAGCCAGGGTTCTCTAAAGAAACAGAACTTAGAGAATGAATATATGTGTGTATAGACATGTATGTATATAGACATATATATACATATACATACGTGTGTGTGTGTGTGTGTGTGTGTGTGTGTGTGTGTGTGTGTGTGGTATAAATGGTTCACAGACTGTGGAGTTGGTCCAAGCTGTCTACCAATGAATCCAGTAGTTGTTCAGTGCATGAGGCTGGATGTCTCAGCTGCTCTTCAGTATATGCTGGAATCCTGAAGAAGTAGACTCTAATGTTAGTGAAGTAAAGGACTGGTTAGAGAGAGCAAGAAGGCAAAGAAAGCAAGTTTCCTTCTTCCATGTTCTTTATATGGGTGTCAGCAGAAGGTGTGACCCAGATTAAAGATGTGTCTTCCTACCTCAAAGATTCAGATTAGAAGTGTGCCCAGTCATTTGGGTTCATTCCAGATGCAGTCGAGTTGACCGTCGAGGACGGCCATCACACATGCAAAGGCACTAGTTTATTACAAGTGCAGCATTTATTCATGAACTCACAGCAGCCCCGGCTGCCTTCTCATGATCAGGACAGTCAACTCCAGTTTACTCCAGCATGGAGGGGATGGGTTTGGAGCTAAGGAGCTATTGATAGTGGATGGATTCTAGGGAAAGAAGAGTCAGTTGTAATGGTATGGCCCAACCATGCTAGGCCAACCATTCATGTATGGGCAGCACAGATTAGCCTCAGTGAGTTATTTTTTTAAGGGTATGAACTTGAAAGGGGTGGGAGTGAATTCAGAGAAGCTGGAAGAACAAGTAAGGGGTTAATATGATCTACATATATTGTATCAATATTAAATCCTCAAAGAATTTATAAAAATATTGTATTAGAAAACTGTAGCTTACAAGCCATGAGAGTTCACCATGCAGTGAGCAACAATCTGAGTGTAAGAATTAAAAATAAATGGGGATAGATAGTTCAGTCATTGCTTTCTTCCCGTACAAGAATGAGGATCTAAATTCAATCTCCATAATCCACATTAAAAAAAAAACCTAAATAGGCACTGTGGTGCACAAGCAGCAGAGAGACAGACAGGTAGGGTGTCTGGGACTCTCTGGTCAACTACCCTATCCTAATTTTCAAGTCTTGTGTTTGGTGAAAGACCCTGTCTACAAAAGAGCAAGGTAAACATCTTCTAAGGAATGCCACTGGAGAGTGACCTCTGACCTCTACTTATTTACACATGCATGTCACTTGCACATACACAAGCAACTGTGAATTCATGCCCACATGCCACATACACACACATACAGGGAAGTAAAAATAAAGGTCAGACCATCTGGCTGATAAGAGACCTTTTCCTGTATAAACAAATCCCTTTAATGCAGAGTTTTGATTAACAATCTAAAGAGCATGTAAAAAGTAAACTTACTCACTCTTAATTCTTGATTCTTTTTTCTACTTCCATGCCACCATAACCTCTCACAACCACTCAGTAATCAGCATATTTAGCTGTTCCTGCTCCTTCGTGTTGCCCACAAGAACAAATTTCTGTCTTTATTATTCTACCCTTAATCCAGACCCTTGTCATTTGGCTGAAACTATGAGCACAGCCTCCAGAATGATCTAATAACTACATTGTTGCCTTAAATTCATTCTGCATAAAATAACCAGGACAATTTAGTGTAGACATAAATATGGCCTTTTTATTCCTCATAACCTCCTCAAGGGACTGGAAAAGACCCAGGTTCTATTCCCACACCAACCTGTTGATTGACAGTTATTTGTAACTCCAGTTCCAGGCAATGCCGTGCCCTCTTCTGGCCTCTGCAGGCCCCAGGCATGCAGTGTGGTGCACAGACATGCATGCAGGCAAAACACCCATACTTGTTATTTTTTTAAAAAAAAAAAAAAAGCTCCTTTTAAATTAAGAGAGTAATAGAGGAGTAAATATGATCAAAGTATATTATATACATATAAAATGTCAAAATGAATCCTATTGTTTTGTAAAGTTAATATATGCTCATTTAAAGTTTAAAACTTTCAAAGACCCCCTCATAACTTAGTTTAGCAGTATTCCAGGCACAGCGCAAAACATTTTCATAAATTATTCAATTAATTTATTCATGTTATCCATGAATGCATATATTTATTGATACAGGTTTCTTTGTCTCAATTATCTGTTAAATGCCAGAATGTATCCCAGTCTGCATTTCTGTCTTAGTGGTAAAGCCATGATGAAAACAAATTAATGTAAGCTTCATGGACTCAGGATTTCCCCCCCACCCTGCTGTGTTCTCAGGCCCAAACAAAACAGAGTCCGAAGACCATTAGAAGGTAAAACGTGCAAACCCCAATCATCCGCAGTGACTCATCTTTCTGATCCTGCTATGGCAGTTTTCATTCAGGCCAGATGGAAACGCTTTGGTTTATCACACACTGTGTTCTTGGTAGTTTCTTTTCCGAGTTCATTTGCTGTCATCTCTAATTATAAAAAGTGACATCATGCTACTAGCAGTGGTTTTCAGTGTATGTCAGAATGTGTGATCAGCATTTCCAAAAGAAATGTGGAATTAGAAACCAAATGAATCCAGAAAACTTGAGAGATCTTATCTACAAGAGAATACAGTCCGAACAATCTTAGTTCTTACTCCTGTGAGGGGCACTATCCAGTAAGTCCAAACTTGCACATTATAGAAGGACAGTTCCATTAAGACTGTACTTCATAAGGATTGGATGTTTTTACCTTTTTCTCAGTTTGGTTTTATCTATATCTGAACTTTTCCTGCCTTATAGCTGAAGGGAAAGTGAAACTGAATAATTTAATGGAAGAGCTGAGAGCGGTTTTAGGTAAGTGTGAAAGTGCTTAATTCTTTCCGCTGCTTCACTGTTACTCCTGCTGTCTAGTCCTCTTCTTGCTAATTTAACCACCTGAGCCTTTTGTTAATTAAACATTTTTCATCTACTGCCTTTGAATCACCTATGCTTTTACAACAGACATTTGTCAAAACTTGAGATATTTCAAAAATTAAACAGTGACTATTTACAGATGGATTTTTGGGGGTGGGTCATCAACAACATTAAAATTTTCTGGGAAATTGTATGAGCATTAGGTTATTTGAAGTATGTTCCTTATAAGTACATAACCTTTGTTATAGATAAGATTATGTTTTAATTTTTATATTTCTAAATCTGTTGCTTATTCTACATGACAACACGTGTCCTCACATTTTTATTGTTTATCTAGCCATGAAAGACTCTAGCCATGTTTAGTTTTTCATGATTCGGATTCATTTGATGGTGTTCTGCAATAGTGACAGCACGTTTTTTTAACAGTATGAGAACTTTTTAGTCTTAATTCTTCCTTTTGGTTTCTCTCCAACCAGAGTCACAGAAGACGCTATCAGGGTTGCCCATTTCTCCTTCACTAGTGCTGATCCTTGTTGAATGCTGAGGATCCGAACTCAGGTCCTCATCTTGTACAGCAAGCACTTTACCCACTGAGCCGTATTCCCAGCCCCTTTCCACGAGAATTCTATGAAATTCCTCACACATATGGGGACTCTGTCATCTCACTCATGATCCCATCTAGTCTTGCTTCCTAAAATCTTCTTCTGTAAGGACCATTAACATCAGAATTTTCTGGATTATTTCTGATTATTTTACAAGACACATTCAAACTATCACATGAATTCTAGATTGCTTTTCCTAATTTTGTGCATAGTTCATGTCTGTTTTAATATGAAAAGTCATTGAACTGACTGATTGTTCTGCACCTATTAAATGAGCATATGGTCTTTGTCTTTCATTCTCATATGGCATAACTTATGTATTGCTTTTGCATGTTGAACCATCATCACCTTATTATGGTGAGAATTTGTTTTTTAAGCTTAAATTTGGTGTGTTAATATTTAGTTAAAATTTGGTTTGTTAAATTTTGTTTCTGTGTTTGTCAGAGGTAGCGAGTTGTAGTTTTCTTTCTTGATACGTGTCTTTCTAGCTTTGCTATTAGAATAACAGAACCCAAGTCCACTTTTGAAACACTTTCTCACAAGCATTTACCAAATGCATTTTTTGGTAAATTCTATTACTTAATAGTTAACTAATATAAGATGTGCACTGTGTGTGCCTTTCTACATGAAATTTATGTGCATCATAACTTATAGTTCCAAATATGATCATTTCAAACTCCTGGAGTAAATATGTAAATTTTACTTCATACAAGAATGCTCTCAGTTATTACTCCTTTTATGCTCATCTGTAGACATAGTTAAGGTTCATGAATTTCCTAACTTTACAGGGTCAAGAACCACTGCTTTTAGTTGTCAAATTCCTTTCATGTCACCATTTGTGTCTTCTTTAGGAGAGCCAACAGATATTAATGACCTCGAGGATACTCTGAAAGACATGAAGATTGAGTTCACAGACAAAGAGTATTTGCGTCTGATGAGAAATCTTCCACTTGATGGTAAGCATATGGATATGTATTGATATGTATTGGTAAGGATTGATATATATATATATATATTCATCAGAAGGTTTTTGAGTACTTTATTGTGAAATTTTTCTAAGATGGTAGCAAATTGCTACCATGATTTTTCTATTTCTTATTGTTTTATTTAGTATTCATATGTGCACATACTATGTGTTTATCAACTCCATCCCCATTCCCTTCCCTCCAACGCCTCCCTTAAATATCCTTCTACTTTTCTCTCCCATCTTCATGTGACCAGGACTTTAAAATCGTTTCTTAGAACTTCCAGAATATTTTTGGCAAAAGAATATCTGAATCATTTACTTCTCAATATGGTAAACGAAAGCTGTTCCACTCATTTTCCTCCCAGCATGGTCCGTGTGTTGTCCTTGTTTGTGCTAACATGCCAGAAAGTACAAAGAAAAGCACAAAAAGGGGGGGGAAAGTGAGGCTAATCAGAAATTTAAAACCAAATCAAATGGATTATGTGTTTCCAAGTTTACAGCCAGTGGTCAATGTTTTTCATGCGTGAGTGAATAGATTTGCGTCATGAAAGTCTTTCTCAAAAGGCTGGAGAGATGGCTCAGGGGTTAAGAGAACTCTCCTCTCTTGCAGAGGACACAAGTGCAATTCCCAACACCTAGAGGATGGCTCACAACTACCTGTAACTCCAATCCCAGGGGCTCCAATGTCTTCTTCTGGCTTCCCCAGTCACAGGCATACAAATACTATACATATGTACCCCCAAAACACCCACATACATAAAATGCAGGGGTGTTTTCAAATTGAAAAATAAATAAAGTCCTTCTCCAAACAAACTCCATTACATCGAGAGAATACAAATAAATCTAGAAGGAAACCATTAGAAACTGATCTTTTTGAATCATGGAATTTTAAGAATTATATTCATTGGTTGTTGATTTAAGCAATCCTCCTTATTAATGTTTTCTGACCTTGGTTGTGCTTTTTTCTTACAGCTTCAGGAAAAGTATATAAGAAAAGGATATTGGATGGTATAAAGCACCTTAAAAGTGAGTGCAAAGCATCATGGGAGGATAAATATATATGATTCCAATACTGTTCATGTACACAAGTTCATCTCTATTAAATAGAAATATCATGAATGTATTTTCTCAGGTTTATATTTTAGATTATATTTCCCAACATAACATGTTGGGTTATTATGCTACAATTCCCTGGGAATTTATCTAGACCCATTTAGAATTGCATAGTATTCAATATAAACAAAAGATGCTGCCATCAGAGAAGGAGATACTACATCTAGTTTCAATGTTGTTTTACACCTGTGACTAAGTCTTCCTGAATCTTAGGTCCTCGTGTATAGTAATATTTTATTTATATTTTATTAAATAAAGCTTGCCTGAAGTTCAGAGGGTAAAACTAAGCCACTAGAGGCCAGGCAGGGATGTCACACACCTTTAATCCCAGGATCTGGGAGAAAGAGGCAGATGGATCTCTGTGAGTTCAAGGCCACCCTGGGCTACATAAGATCAATGCAGAAACAGATCCAGGTGGTGGTGGCTCACAGCCTTTAATCCCAGTACTAGGGAGTCATATGACTTTAATTCCAGAACTAAAAGAGAATGTAAAATGGGAGGAGACAAAGGCTCAGAGCTCAGTCTGCAGCTGCCCAGCCTTGGTAGAGATAAGACTTCTTTAGTAGCTTGAATATTTTGTTTTTCTGATCTTCAGTTTGAACCCCAATATCTGCCTCTGGGTTTTTATTATTTCTGCTGCACTCATGAATAAAAATGATGACCATAGCCCACCTAAATTAATTAATAAGGGCTTTTCACATTTTGATATCTTTTTAATGCTTTGTCTCTCCTAAGGAGGAAGAGTTGATGTGAATAACTTGAGCCCATTTCTGGAAACCATGGGGCTCGATCTCTCACAGAACGAATATGAAGATTTTGTAGAAGACCTGCCAGTTGATGGTAAGTTTATAGGCTAAAGCATGTTTTTGGGGGGACACCATAGGTTTAACAGCATCTTTAGATGGCATTGATTTGATGTCAAGAGGATGTTTTGAAAGGTTTGCAACAGAATCCAGATAAAAACATATACTGTCTTCATTAGTTCAAGTCTAGCAAGTGTCCTCCACATGGTGGTAGCCACACTGGATATTGTGTGATTGCAAAGGAACTTACCTACTAGGAATGTTTAAAAAAAATGCCTGCTGTGAATGCTTTACCTGACCTAAATTAGAAAAGCAATGGCTAGAGAGAGAAGCACGGGGATTTTAAAATATATATAACTGTGGACACTGAGAATTATACCACTACAATGAGGTATTGTGTGTATTATAAGCTTTGGATTTAAAATACAATAATAAATGAGAATTTTTCCCAATGGAAAATAATTTGCCAATATTGATTGAAGATATGAAAAATACAACTAGACAGATAATGGTAACTGGAAAAAATAGTCAATTCTCTACCACTAGCCATCATTCCAACAAGGAACAGAGGCTTAAACAGTTTCTTCCATTTTGTTTTCATGTTTTGTGGTGCTAGAGATTGGACCTAGGGCCTGACACATGCTGGTTGGGTTCTCTTTACCACTGGTTTGTGTCGCCAGTACCAGATAATTTTCAGAATAACTTCTTTAAAATCTTCCAGTAACTTTGTTCTGATGATATCTAAATGGATCCAAAAAGCACACTGGAAATGGTGGCAGTCTCTTGAAACCTCGACGCCTACCTCCAGTGACATATTTCCTCCAACGGGGCCACACCTCCTAATCCTTCCCAAACAGTTTCACCAACTGGGGACCAAGCATTCACACATATGAACCAATGGGAGCCAATCTCATTCAAACAACCACCATGTACAAAACTAAATAGAATAAAAGGGATGGGGGATGTTACATCTACTTGGTGCTAAAAATACCTAAAAAATATAACGTAAGCATCTAGAATTAAATTTTAGATGATGCCAGTGTCCTAGTTGGGAAAGGAGGAAAGATCCTCACTGTTGCTCTGTGATTTTCTTGCAGATAGTGGAAAGGTTAATGTGAAAAATATTGTGCCAAAATTGAAAGATTTCAAGGGTGAGTTTCTCTAATACTGATATGAAAATGCTATAAATATGTATCTTAAATATTCCCCCAGTATATTGTTGATATCAGCATAGTCATTTTACTCAATTATTTGTCAGATTAAATTTATTCAATAATTTATGTATTCAAAATAAGCCACAAGACTTACCCTTTTTTATTGCTGTTTTTGTTTGTTTTGTGAGAAAGGGTCTCTTTGTGTCATCCTAGCTGTCCTGGAATTCACTGTGTAGACCAGGCTGGTCTGGAGTTTACAGAAATCTGCCTGCCTCTCCCTCCTCCATTCTGGGCTAAAGATGTGAGCCACCATGGCTAGAGCAAGTCCTTTTTCGTTTATAAGTATTTCTTTCCTACATATAAATAGCTAAATTTCAAATAAGCATGTTAATAAAATAGATAACGTTTTGGAAAGCTCAAGATGTTTTTCTGTGTGATCAGTTTTATAAGTCAGTATTTCTGCTGGCAACTCAATATCCCATTGGTAGCCTAGATTGAATTCTGCATGCCATCCCCTAACACTGAGAATGCCTTTGTTATGTTACTATTACAAGGGAAGGTTTGCTCCGGGTTCTGTTGTCACTTTGTCACTTTGCATTTGCGTGTCCCATCTTGTCTCTTCTCCTTAACTCCAAAATGAAATTACAGCCATATGACTACTATTTTTAAAAGACATATCATAAGTCATATTGGTTAATAACATGTTCTTACAAATACCATTTTTTGAATTAAATTATCAGGCCAGCCCAGTGGGGAAAGCTATGTGCCAAGCAAGCCTGGTGACCTTAGTTCAGTCCCGAGGACTAGTGTTGAAGGAAAGAACTGACATACAAGAGCTATCCTCAGACCTCCATATGCATGAGTACACACATGTGCACACACATACACAGAATAAATATTTTTTAAATAAGTTAACCAGTTCTTAAAATTTTCACCTGTAAGTGTTCTGTCATCTCAAAGGAGAGAAGATCAGTGTAGGTGACCTGAAGAGCACTGTTGGAGAGATAGGGATCCAACTCAACGACAGAGAGTATGTGAACCTGCTGGAGACGCTGCCATTTGATGGTGAGTTAGCATTGCTGTGACCTCCAGAAGCTAACTGGTCTTATGATTCTGCTCTTTGGAACTTATGTTATTTTTTCCTCTTTCCGTTTGTGTGTGTGTGTGTGTGTGTGTGTGTGTGTGTGTGTGTGACATTGGTTTATTGGTGTGTATAGGCACAGTGTGTGGGTGTGCATGCATGTGTGTGTGTGTGCATGTGGCAGGTATTGGTTTCTTAGTGTGTGTAGGCACGGTGTGTGGGTGTGCGTGTGTGCCAGGCATTGGTTTTTCAGTGTGTGTAGGCACAGTGTGTGGGTGTGTATTTGCGTGCATGTGGAGCCCTGGTTGATGCTGTGAGTCCCCCTCAACCCCATTCCTTGAGGCAAGCTCTCCAGCAAACCCAGGGCTCACAGGCCTAACTGGCTCACTGTAAGCTTGCTGGGAGACCCCGTCTCTGCTTTCCAAGGCTGGAATTACAAGTGGGCTGCCACCCACACCTGCATTGTGTGAGCTCTGGGGACCCTAAATTCTGTTCTTGCTGCACATGGCAAGCGCTTAACCACTGAGCCCTCTCCCCAGCCTCTGAAGGGTATATTTTGAAATGATGTGTGTTGAAATGTCGCCTGTACCCACCCTCCAGCCCTCCTCATAAACAGTCTTCGTTGCTCCTGTGACGCTTCGGATACAGACCTTAGTTCTCAAAAACTCTTCCACAAAACCACTGTCGAGAAGAAAGAAAAACATCCCTGCTGACTTTTCAGTGCAGGGAGGGGAGGCGGCATCTTTGACCCCAGTGCACTAGAGGTCCTGGAGGAACCCCTGGCCTCTCTGAGGTTCTTTCCTACATCCTGCTACTAAAACCTGCCCCTTCCTCACCTTTTACCCCTCCACCCACGCTAAATCCTCAAAGGTTCTGTTTTTATTCTCACTGCTTGAGAGTAGGCCAAATTTCTCTCCCTTTTCCATCAATATTGCCCTTGCAGAGGACCTGTGTTCCATTCCCAGAACCCACATGATGACTTATAGCCATCTGTAACTCTAGTTTCAGGGGATCCAGTACCTCTTCAGGCCTCTGCAGATGCTAGGCACACAGGCACACAATGCTCATACACATAAAATTAAAAAGCAGATCTCTTTTTAAGAGCCTTCTCAACAAATGCCTACTTCTGTAAGTAATTCTTGTGTCAGGTGCTAAGAAATTAACTTTTCCATATATTTACGCCAGTTTGGAAGTTAGTAAAGCCTTCAAATATGAGCCTTGTCATTAAGGGCTAAGAAAACACTTGCCACTGCCTCTTAGACCCTGGCCATGTCACAGGTTACTAGTGAAATAAGTGAAAGCAAAAGACAGAATATGTGGTAGAAAAGAGGGATGGAAGGCTTCAAAAGTAGGAACTGTCCCAACACATGGGAGGCTGCAGTAAGAGACTCCAGAGTTCAAGGCAAGTCTGAGATGCACTGCAAGACTCTAGCTGAAAGAAAAGGAAAAAGACTAAGAACATCAAGGAAGCATGGATGGAAAGATTGCGTGAGCCAGAAGTAGGGGAGGGCTGCAGTGAACATGGCAGGACCATTGCACTCAGAGCCCACAGCAGCTCTGGTTACCTGCATGAGAGCAAAGTTCCTACATGGATGGGAAAGAGACACAGCAGTCCCCTCCCCTGGCTGAGAAGCTATGGACACTTGGTGGCTGCTAAGGGATTCTGTTTTCTTTAGGAATGTGGTCCCTGGTAGGTTGCTCCAGAGTGGGACCCTATGTCCATTCTTATAGGGGAAGCACTAATTGGAGTCAGTGGACAATTTTAAATGGGGATGGGATTAGGAACCGGCTCGGCAGTTAGGAGTAACTGCTGTTCTGTCAGAAGACTTGAATTTGGTTCCCGGCATCCACATCAGACAGCTCACAGCTCCTGTAACTCCAAGTCCAAAGGATTTTGCTCCATCTTCTGGCCTTTAGGGGCACCCACAAAGCATGGGCATGCACACATGTATGTATGTGTGTTCATACACACGTGTGTATTGTGCTTGTGCACACACAAAAATTAAATATCTTTTAAGAAGACATGAAGTTGGGAAGAAAATATAGGGGAAACTTGGGGAATAAATATGATTGAAACACAATATATACATATATTAAATTCTCAAAGAATAAATAAATATATTTTAAAACTAATTTAAGGGGCTGGAGAGATGACTCTGTGGTTAAGAACAGTTGCTGCTCTTGTAGAGGACGCAGGTATGGTTCTCAGCACCCACATCAGGGAGCTCACAGCCATCTGTCATTCTAACTCCAGGAAGCCTGACACCCTTCCTGGTCCCCCAGGACACCAGCAAGCAAGTGGCCCACAGACATACATGCAGTCCAACACTCATACACATAAAAGGTAAAGTTAAATAAATCTTTGTTAAGAATAATATTTGAAGATGGAAAAGAAAACAGGTAAGAATGGTGTGTGTGTGAGTCCCAGCTCTCATGTATAAGCCAGTATTTGTCTTGGAGGCGGAGGTGTCGATAGACCAGTCAACAACACATGGCATTTGCTTAGTCCTAATGGTGTTCAGGAGCCATCCTCACCACACACAGCAATGGCGCCTGACCACGGTGTTACAGTGAAGGAAACAGAGGCCTAGATCTGCTTAAGGCCCCAAAGCCAGTGTGTAGCAAAGCCCGGGCATGTGTGCTCGGACTCCCACCGCTACCCCGGACACTCGCTCTGTGCCATCATGACGGTGGAAGAGGATCCACTCCCTAAGGTCAGTCCCAGAACAAAAAGTCTAGCCCTGTATTCACCAAGGCATTCTCAGTCCTGAACTGTAACTTCTTTTCTTTACTACAGAAAATAACAAAGTTTTCCGAAATCGACTCCTGTCCAGCCTGAGGGGTTTCAAAGGCGAGTAGCAAATGTGTGGAAGTAGTATAAAGGCCGGTTTGAGATTTCCTCCTAGATTATGGTCGTGATTCTTCGGGAACCTATTCTATGTATTGATCACTTTGATCTTTGTTTCATAGATGGCATGTAAGTTTGGTCAGCAGCACGCTCAGAGGAATCAGCCTTGAATGCCCAACTTTATTTCTGGGTGCCTTGGACAGATCTCATGAGAGCTTGACCATCACTGTACTGGGTACAGCCACTACAATGCTCAGCATTTGAGCTGCCATTTATTTAAATGACCAGTTCAGAAACTACTACAACTCAGATTCCAGTTATCTGGTCATAACCACTCCATGTTTTCAAGCCACATATAATTAAAATATCAACATTGCATAGGTCACAATGATCCCATTGGAAATTTGCATTAATGACACCAGAGTCCTGGTCATCTTGTCTAACAGTCTCTTTCTTCCAGTGCTAGAGGAAATGATTGTGGCTGTAGATGAAGTAACTGACTTGAATAAGAGTTACAATTTTAAAATGATGCTTAATACTGAATTACATGGAGTTAAGATATCCCCGATCCGAAATACCCATCCATCCACCTGACCAAGGAATGAATGTGTTTGAAATTCACTGCTTCTTACACACTTGCTGCCTGTGGAATGGCAGTGGTAATCACAGGATCACTCTTTCTGCTCATGACATGACTGTTTTCACTACAGCAACTTTGACTTCTCTAAGTTAGATGATGCCACAACTCCACCCAATTCAAAAGCAGCTTTTCTTACTGTGATCATCTTTAATAATGATTACATGTAACTAAATTTTTCTGGGGAACAAAAGTTTGCTCAATAGCACCCACTTAAGTAGGTGTTTAAACTCCGAAGATGGCTGTTTGGAGTTTGGATTTATTGATTATAATAAAAACTATGATGTACATTCACCATTCTCCCATTGGTGCCACGGACCGGCTCAGGGGAGCCACTCAGACCACGGGGGAACAGGACGAAGGACAGGAGATTTCAGGATACGGCGGAGGAATGACAGACAGACCACCCTCAATGTTTTTGAGAATGCTGCTGCGATTTTCCTTTTTTCAGTGTAGGATTATATATTTTTTACAATCACAGAACTTGGCAAAGGCATACATCATCAGATCATAAAACAGAAAAGAACAGCATAAAACAGTTTACAAAAAGAATCTTTGAAGATGCTTTGACTTGGGTACAAGGACTTCTGCTCTCTCATATTTTGTAAAATAAACTCTTTTTTCTTGCCTTCAGAGAGGCTATTGCCCTTGAGCTAGACTATCTTTATCAGCTTGTACCAAGTGGCTGGCTGGTTTGAGCTAAGTGACCTTGTGTGCCTGGGTGAGAAAGAAAAAGACTACTATCTCCCTGGGAAAGCTTTCTGCTAGGAAATTTCTAAGACATAGTCTCGAACCTCTCTGAAACTCATTCCATATCACTAACCTCAACTTTCCTCCCTTCTCAATTCTCAGGCTCAGATGTTGTCAGCTTAGGTTAGGTCTTTTTCTTCCCACAAGAAAGGTTTCATAGGCCTTCTGTTTACAATTGCACATACTTCCCAGGCAAATGCCTAAGGCTTCTAAGGTTTTTCCTGGTAAAATTAACTCCTTCTGTTCCACATCATCAAGGAATTATCCTAATGATGACCCTGCCAATTCCCAGAACTGGCTACTTCTTTTAAGGCTTTAATGAATGGTGGGGCAGAGCTCAAAAATGTCCTCAGCAGTCTTGTTTGTATCCGCAACTGCCTGGATTAGTCTGATCTGTTAGCAATATGCAAGGATCACAAAGAACACAAAAACAAAGAAAAAGACACACATATGGCTCCAAGTCGAGTCAGTACAAATGGCGACTCAGGTGGCATTACACCACAACTGATTGCCAAGGAACCACCTGGAACACAGCTCCAAGAAACACAGATTTCAATCCTCCGGCAACACCTGCCTGCCCAGTCAGCATTTCTGCTACACTGGCGTGACAGCTGTGGATGTAGCACATTGACATGACCTTTTTCTGTGAGAAGTGGAATTCATAGCCCAACAGTTATGAAAACTTCACAAGACCATGATTGCTAAACCATTTTCAAATAACTTTCTGATTTTTTTTTGTATATTTATTTTCCTTTCTTTCTTGAGACAGAGTCTCACCATGAAGTGCTGACTGGCCTGGAACATCCTATGAAGACCAGGCTGGCTTCAAACACATAAAGCTCCACCTGCCTCTGCCTCCAAAATGCTAGGAGTAAAGACGTGTGCCATCACAAACAGACTAATTAACTCTTAACGGCAGCCAGGCCTGTTGAAAGCTACTCTAATTTAGCAAGTCTTTCTGTCTGGATGGGGGATTTTCTCATTTTTCTGACATTTTTTTCCAGGTGGAAGGGTTGATCCCAACAAGCTGAAGACACTTTTCCTGAACATCGGACTCAAACTCAAAAACAAGGAATTGAGAAGTGTGATGAAGAAGCAGGCTGCTAGTGGTGAGCATGGGGACCATGCTGCCTTTGGATGTTGGGGGCAGAATCTTGAGATTAGGTATAAGAACTTCTAAGATTAAACGGGCTTGCTGATGCGCACCTCAGCACTTGGGAGTCAGAGGCAGGAGAATCATTAGAAGTCCAAGGCCTCTCTGTTTAGTAAGTTCCAGGGCCCCCACACACATACACACTCTCTCTGACTTCTACAATTAGATTGATCTGAGAATTTTAAATACTATTTATGGAGAAGAATTTGGTCTGAAAATAAGAAATACTGTCTTTTGTCATTTTTTTTAGTAATCTGAAGTCATCATGCCACCCCCCAGTGCTAAGACCCCAGCAGGCCAGGGACTTGTAGGGAAAAGAGAAAATGGGAGCAGGGATAAAAGAAAGTGAACCACAAAGATAGCCAGAAATAATCAGGAGAGAAAAATCTACAGTGGGAAGTAGTGGAACCCCATTAATATTTCCTAAGGTGTCCATGCATGAGATAAATACAGACGTGGGAAATGTTAGGGGACAGCATATCAGAAAGAGATGGGGTGTAGGAAGCATCTAGCTCAGCAGCTGCATTAAATGTGAGGTATAAACACACATTCACAAACATGGGAAAAGGGAGCACACCTCTTGAATGGTATCATTACCATTCTTAGAAGGCATTTAAAGTCCAAGACATGCTACATAAGTACCATGAAGACACGATATTTATCATAGCCAGACCCTGTGCTCAAGAGAATGGCCACAGTCCAAGGTCTTTCTTACTAATGAGGGCTCCAGCATTCAAAGCAGAAAATATAAACTTAAGGTCAACACAAATAGATTAGTAAAATTTATAGGCTTTTATCAAATCCTAATTTATAATCTTTCTAAGTTGTATGTCATCATCTTAATTGTTTATGTTCTGTATTACAGCTAATCGAAGTATCCCTCTGAAAAAAGTATTAGCAGATGTGAACTCGGTTGTAGGCAAGTTAAAAGTTATGTGAAGTTTAAAACCCTACATCTTAATGCTATCCTCATACCTTTTCATTACTACGTAAATAAACTCACAAACTCAGGAGGCATATAAACAGAATGCTGGAGACTTGTCGGTGTTCTGCTTTCTCATCCAGATGTCCCAAGGGTTCTGTTGACACACAAGCATGAAGACCTGAGTTCAATCCCCAGCACCTACATTAATAACAAGTTGTGCTGACATGCCCTTTTAATCTCAGCATTGGGGAGGTGAAGATGGGTGGATCCCTGGGGCTTACTGGTCAGCCAGCCTCGCATAATGGATAAGCTCCAAACCACTGAGAGGCACTGTCTCAAAACACAAGGTGTCTGACCCCACAGTTGAGGAGACCTCTGGCCTCCATGCCCACATGCACCTGCATATATACATGCGCCCATGAACACACCCATACAGGCACATACAACAGATAAATCATTTGTTTAAGTGTAATAAAAGAGTTTCCCTCCCCAGAATGAAAGGAACATATTCTAATTGTCTCCGGTCATTTATTCTGCTTTGGAGCCTTTCCGTGCCTCTGAGTTCTCACAGTTACATGCTGTGATAGAAGAACATGAACAGTTTCCTTCCACCTTCTTCTGCTATTTCGATGCCTGTCAGTACTGCAGACTATACTTACCATTTCTGCTTTTTGAAGGAGGGAAGGTTGGTGTCAAAGATGTGAAAAATTTTGTAGAAGCCGCTGGAATAACACTGACACCTAAAGAACACTTATTACTGATGAGCGGTCTACCAATTGATGGTGAGTTTTTCAAACATTGTTAGAATATAAGGGAAAGTCAGGTCGGGTGTTGAGACACTTTAAAACAAACTTTTATCTGCTGGGATAATTGACTGTGACCTGGTTGTTGTTGCTGTTGTTTTTAAGAACTGTCAACAGTTTTTAATATGACCTTGTTCTTGCCCCAGAAAGAATAATTTTGTCCTTTCGTTGAGTGTCAGCAACTCTAATTTTCTTTATTTCCTATGATTGAGGATGGAAACCATTATTTTGTTCCATTATCCCTTCCAATGAAAGTTAACTTTGTAAGTGTAAGGAGGAGGTGAGGATGGCAGGAGCAGGAAAGTGGGCGAGAGGAAAGTAAGAGAAGCGGAGGAAAGATGTGTTTGTACTCTTGTACAATGTGGCAACAGGTTATTAGACAGTTATTTCCATCCAGTTACATGTATGCTCTGAAATTTTTCTCGATTCCTTGCCTTTGAACTCTTGGGATTCAAAATATCAAACTATTTATAAGGCAAATCACTGAAAAGCGCCCGGCTGAGACAGCAGCTTTGTACTGTCCTTCTGACGGCTGTGATGTGTGTGTGCCCCTGTTTTGCAGATGATGAAACTATATATGAAAGCAGGTTGATAGACTGTCTGAAATCCTTCGAAGGTAAGGGGCATGGTGAGAAGAAAGATGAATAAGGGCCCTTGACTCACACCTGTAACTGGCTGTGTCCTCTTGTGGGGACCACCCTCTCCCACACTTATCCCACACTCACTCCCCTATCTTCATGTCTGAATTTTCCAACCAATTTTTCATTTTGCTGTTAAGATTAGCTTTTGATAAAAAAAAATCAAATTGAAAACTGGTTACACATAAAAATATGAAATAATGAACAGGCTATTATTTTGTGGGGAGTTTCACTAAGCCCTACACTGTGCATGGTAGGACAGTGAGTTTGTACTTGCTAGAATTTTCCTCTCTACCAGCAAGAACATTTTCAGTTCTTTTCCCATTTGTCCCCTTCTGTGAAGATGAACGTCTGGGCTACTGACACTCTTGCTGACAACCGTGATCTAAGGGGGATAAATGAAATTTTCTTTTTCAGGGAAAGTTATTAAATTTCTTCTGTATTCCTGATTCTTGTCCTTAGGTGGGACAATTGATGTCAATAACTTAGAAAATGTTTTGGAAAACTTGAAAATCAAGCTCTCAGACGAGAAACTAAAAGATCTATCAGAAAACCTTCCAGTTGATGGTAAGCGTGCAGCTGGAATCAGACCTTCCAGGGACTCTTGCTCCCGGTGCTCAGACCTGAGGCTTCTGCGAGCAGCATCTGTTTTGATACTGATATAATATTTTTTATCTTTGTTTGGTTGGTTGGTTGGGTTTTTTTTTTTTTGAGAGAAAATTTCTCTGTGTAGCCTTGACTGTCCTAGAATTCGCTTTGTAGACCAGGCTGGCCTTGAACTCACAGAGATCCTCCTGCCTCTGTCTCCCAAGTGCTGGGAATAAAGGTGTGATCCACCACCACCTGGCTGATATTTTTTAGTCTTGAAGAATTCCATCCATGTGAGAGCATATTTTGGTTTAGTATATTTTCATTAATTTTGATATATATGATATATACGCTAGAATGAGCTATGGATGTTCGTCTTTACTTGAGGGACACTGAAGATAGCCTATTACAGTGAAGGGTTTGCTCTTCATATCAGTCTCTTCATCCCAGTGTCCTCCAAAGGCTGTGGACATTAATGTACTGTACTGTGGACATTAATGGCTGTGTCATTAACTGTACTGTACCTTGAAATATATGCTTCCTTGTTGTTCTTCCTCTATTTTGGCACTGCCCACAGGATTCCTTCCTAGCCTCAACTCTTTGATAGAGCAGCAGTTTTAAGCTACAATATTTTATCTTCTCTTTGAAAGGAACAGACAGGAGAGAAAGACTCCCACAAGTTGTCCTCTGACATCTACATAGGTATTGTGACCTGTGTGCACACATAAACACATACACACTGCACACATATACACTGTGGTAGTCTGAATGAGAAAACACCCCCCCAGGGCACTTATGTTTGAATGTTTGGTTCTCAGTTAGTGGAACTGTCTGGGAAGGTTTGGGAGGTGTGGCCTTCTTGGAAGAGGTGTGGCCTTGTTAGAAGGGGTATGGCCTTGTTGGAGTGGGTGTGTCACTGGGCCTAGGCTTTGAGGTTTCAAGAGCCCATGCCAGGCCCAGTCCCATTTGCTCTGCCTACAGCTTATGGTTAGATTTGATCTCTCAGGTACAGCTACAGCACTAGGCCAGCTGCCACACTCCCTGCCATGAAGGTCATAACTCACCCTCTGGAACTGTAAGCAAGCCCCCAGTTAAATGCATCCTTCTGTAAACTGCCTTGGTCGTGGGATTTTATCACATCTATAGAATAGTAACTAAGACACACACATACACACACACACACACACACACACACACACACAAATAAAACGTAATAAAATAGACTTCTAGTCCATTTACTCTCATTACCAAGTAATGTAGCCCTCTTATTGTTACAGTTACCGTCCCTAGGTGTCTCTTTGCTTTGCATACATAACCATCTCCTGATTTCTCTTACTATCCAACCCTCTTCTGTCCTTCCTTCTTCGTGATGACCTCAGCATTTGATCGGCCATCACTGAAGTCTCCCACCTGGCACTGAGCTTTGCTATGCAGTGATGTGAACCTGTCTCTCCAGATATTTCCTCTTGGATAACAGAAGACCAAAGAACATTTTACCTCCATTTCTCTCCTCTGTGTCAATGCTCTGATCTCTTTGGTTCTGTGCTGTTCTGTTTTAATTTAGAAAAGCATCAGTGGCCATGTTAGCTATTTGTCCCATCTCTATGATGAGCACACGAAAAAAGCACCTGAAGGGAGGAGGTTTGCCTTGGCTTAGGCTGTAGGAGGTGCAGTGTTTTGTGACGGGAAAAGTATGGTGGAGGCACAGGCAATCACATCCACTGTCGGGAAGGAGAGAGCAATGGATGACTGTGCTCAGCTTTCTTCTAACTCAGTCCAGGACCCCAGGCAAAGGGAGGATATAACGCCCATTTGGGGTGTATCTTCCCACCTCAACCTAATGTAGATAACCCCTCATAGACATGCCTAGAGAATTGTTTCCCTGGTGATTTTACATCCCATCAAGTTGACAGTCAAAATTGACCAAGTAGTAGTGTAATATTTTTATAACTCCACTATTCATTCAGATTTACTCAAGCATGCACACATTCTTAACTTTTTGTTCTTTCTTGTATCACCAACTTTGCCTTTGGGATCATTTTTCTTCTACCAGAAGTAAATATCATTGAAAAATCCTCTCTTTTTCTGATATACGATTATCTGTTTAGTCAGTTTAGCATGTGGCACATGCTTATATGTTTGTAGTCCTATTCAAGAGGCTGAGGCAGGAGGATTGCAAGTTTGAGACTACCCTAAGATATGTATCAAGAGCTTATCTGAGTAAAACACACACAAACACACATAACAAACAGATCACAAACACACACACACATATACACATGAACATACATACATACACACATACAATTGCACATACACACAAACACATACATACACATATACATGCATACACACATACACACACAAATGCAATACATACACATATACACATACACACACATGCACAGTTTACTATAGTTCCTGATAGATATGTTCTCTGAGCATAGAATTCTAGTTAGTCTTTTTCTTTCAGCACACTTAAAATATCCTACAGTCATGCTTTCTAATATTGCTAGACATGATGGGAAGTCAGCTATAAACCTTACTTTTCTTGGAGAGTAATCATTTCGCTCTTGTTGCTTTGAGTACATTTATCACTAGTTCTGAAGCTTTGCTATGATGTGGAAATTTGAAATGGATTAATTTTCATGTATCTGTCTTAGGATTCATTGGACTTTTGAATATAGCAATTAAAATCCTTTATTGGATGTAGAAAACCATCAGATATCTTCCTTATAATCTTGTTCTTATCCTCTGGGGTTTTTTATTTCTTCCAACGTGTAACTCTGGTTAAAGAGAGGCAAACTGTCTTCATTGGCCTTGATTCCTCTTCGCCTTTGTCTGTGGGTTTCCTTCCTGTGATCCACAAAAGTCTTAAATATATACGTTCTGTAAGTGGTAAGAATTCTCAGAGCACCGTCTGCCGTATTGACTGTAAGGAGTATTTGGAATAGAAATAACCCCCAAGGAAGAGTGGGATTACATACAAGTGACAATGTCCTTTATTGTGAGAAATACCAGTAGTGTGCATAGTTCCCAATTTCCTTCTTGTCCTAAAATAGTCTACATCTTTGGGCTGGGGTGGTAGCTCAACAGTTAAGAGCACTGGTTGCTCTTATGGAGGACTTGTATTTGATTCCCAGTACCCCACATGGTTCCTCACAACCATCTGTAACTCCAGTTTCTTCTGGTCTTTTCAGGCCTTACACACACAGTACACAGACAAAAACATACAGGCAAAACATCTATATGCATAATTTTTAGTGAAAAATTAAATGCATTGATCTTCAATTCTAACAAGTTACGCTGATTCATGGGTCTGCTGGTAGAACGTGTAAACAGAACAAGTCTGGAGAGGGGAGTGAGCATCAGATGCAAAGCTTAAGACCTTTTTTCTTTTTCCTTTAGGAGTGTGTGTGTGTGTGTGTGTGTGTGTGTGTGTGTTATGAATTCTAATTTGTCTTAATAATAAAAACACGGAGTCAGATAGCAGGTAAATGCTGAAAGAGAGACAAAGGACCAAGCCACAGCTACTTCTTACCTCACCAAATTCTCATCAAAAAGGGGCCAAGCTCCTGTCTCTGCCCTGCCTTATCACTTCCTCTCTCTGCCCAGCCATATCATTTGCTGTTTCCTCCTCCCCAGTGCTGGGATAGAAGGTGTGTGCCACCCCTGGTTAACTAATGGCTAGCTGAGCACTCTGATCACCAGTCAGTCTTTATTTATTAGTGCACAAACAAAATATCACCACTGGAGGAGAGGTGTGCACACATATGCATGCATGTATAATGGGCAATGTGTGCCACGGTGAGCGTCTAGGTCAGTGGACAACTTTCTGGAGCCAGTTCTGTCCTTCCACCATGTGTATACCAGGAGTTGAACTCAGGTCATCGGGTTGGCAGCAAGTGCTCTGTCTACTGAACAGTCTTGCCAGCCCAAGGTTGAGATCTTGAAGAAGAAAAATAGAGAGTAGATAATGAGATTAATAGTTAACGTATTTCAAGAATAATTTTCCTTATTTCGTGTTCATCTATATATGTGATAATTCAAAACAAAACATCCTACTTAACGACCCATTTATCTTTGAATCAGCGCACAGCTATTCATGTATATGTGAATTGTGGCCTTTTTACAGGCTCTGGGAAGACTGATCTGCAGAAACTGCTAAGAGAAGTGAGAAAGCTCACAGGTAAGCAAGGCATCTTGTGAAAGATACAAGACTGTTACATAAAAGCTTCACATTTACATGCCTCTTTGAAACGGAATTTTCTTAGCTAGGAGACGGTGCATGCTCATAACCTCGGCATTACAGCAGCTTAGGAAGCTGAGGCAGAAGAGCTGTTGCAAGCTTAGTGAGCACCAGGCCAGCCAGCCCTGTGCAGTAAGATGCTCACCACACTCATCCCAGCACTCAAGAGGACCACAGGAGTTCACGGTCAACTTGCCCTACAGTAGGGAGTCCCAGACCAGCAGAGCTAGACAGAGAAACCTTCACACAAGACAGGGTAATTCTTGTCTTGTCACTGGCTTCAAATGTTTTAACTGGCATGAAGGTTACATCCATTTATTTAGCTTTTAGCAAAATTTTGCATTGATCTATGTCTATAATGAGTTCTACATTTGTTCTGAAACCTCTGCGTGTTTTTATGCTTCATTTCACGATAGCACAAATATTATCATTCATTCAAAATACTTAGTGACTCCTCTGACTCAGGAAATGTTAAGACACAACTGTGACTGAATGCTAATGGTGTGGTCTTGGTGAGGTGATCCAACTCATAACCCAGGTTAGTGCAGAACACAGGGTTGTGCAGATTTGAGCTGTTGGCGGTACACCTGAGATTCGGTACAGCCGGCCAGGGGCTTCCTGTGCAGGATTAGTGCCTCTGAGGCCATTTAGAGCATTTCAGACCCATAGTTTCTTCAGCTTCGAACACATTTCCATGCATCTGTACTAACTTCATTCCATCATCTAAAGTCAGCAAGCAGTTCTCACCTTTATGATTTCCATTTTATTTCCCAAAGGAGGAAAAATTGATTCTAAAGTCACACAAAGACTGCTGGGGGACATGGGCATAGAGCTCACAAACAGGGAAGTCAATAAGCTGATGAAAAGTCTGCCTATCGCTGGTAGGTACTCTGCGGACTACGGAACGGATCTCTGTCCTTGCATGAACCTCAATGTGAAACCTCCCAAAAGCTGCCACCTCTCCTGCCCTACAACACAAAGATATTAAGCTGGAATTGGAACGATATTATGTCCGGCGCTTAAATTTGTTTTGAGAGCTTCTCCCCCCACCCCACCCAGTGTCTTTTAACCGAATCTTGGCTTTAATAGTGTTGTTCCTGACTGTGAGGGTGACTCAATAGGTCAGAGCAATTGCTGTGTAAATCTTTGAGCTGAGCTCATATCCCTAGAATGCACATAAAGATCACAGTGCTCCAGTGTACAACCCTGGCCCTTCCACAGTGAGGTGGGAGGCAGACAGGAGAGTCCCCTGAAAGTTCCCAGACCAGCTAGCCTGGAATACACAGTGTAAGAGCAAACAGGACAGACCCTGTCCCAAACAGAATGGCTGATAAGTACTGACATCCAAGGTTGTACTCCGGCCTACACACACACACACACACACACACACACACACACACTCCGGCAACTGCCTGTGCACGTGCGTGCACACACACACAGAGACATGTAAATGAATAAGTAAATGTTTTTCAAATATCCCATTACCTTGAGATAAACAAGGTTTAAATAGAGCGATGAGAAAAAGAGGATGAACTAACGGCTAGAAGAAAGGGGAAAGCTCCGTACGAGGAAAGGTGTCCATCAGCTTCACACAGAGTTCTGCCCAGGGCCGGGAAAGGCTCAGTGGTAGGTCACTTGGTTTGGTGCCCAGAGCCCTGGGTTCATTAGCACTACGTAAGGAAGAACGAGAAGCAGGAAGAAAGAGGAAGATATAGGGGGGACTTTGGGGAATTAGATTAGTGGAAAGCCCCTGGGTTCAGTCCCCAGCTCCAAAAAAGTCAAGAGGCAAAAGTCACAAGAGTAGAAGAGGCAGAAGCAGAAGAAAAAGAAGAGAAAGGGAGAAAAGAAAAGGAGAAAAAATCGTACTTTGCACGTCTTTATAAAGAAATGTGTGTAGATATGGGAACTGTAGAAGTATAAATTTGAAAGGTAAGTTTTCATGTTTTTGATTGAGAGCCTAGCCTTGGATGGCTGAGTCATCTGGCTCTGTAATGAGATCTTGCGCCCTCTTCTGGCCTGCAGGTATAACTGCAGGCAGAACACTGCATACATAATAAATACATCTTTAAAAAAGAAAGAAAACTTTCAAAAAGCTAAATTTTTATAGTCTGCACTGAAAGTTATATCCTTCCATACCTTTTTTTTACTGTAGCATCATTTTTCTCTAATTTTAAATGTTTCGTATTTTACAGATGATGGGAAAATACTTAAAAACATATTACTTGACCATATGAAGTGGTTTTCTGGTAAGTGATAATTTCAGTAAAGCAATTCAGACTATTATCTGTGCTTTACCTTAAATTTAATAAAACTCATGTCATCACTACATAATAATCAGGTGATTTATTTTCTCTAAGTTTATAGATCTTTTAGATGCAACTATAACTAATGTAGTTTATAATTTTCTGGTGATGAAAATGTTTCAAATTCTGTTTGCTAATCAAGAGCACTAGTTGTTTTTTGATATAATTCACAGTTCATTTGAAAAATACAATTTATAGTATATAGAATCAGCACATGCAATCAATATGTAAGTGCAAATTTACATAATTCTTCTGATACATAATGAACTTCTAAATGCACCCCTGCTGCAAACTGTAGGAAGCACCCCTGAAGCAGGATTGGTGAAAACATTGCATTCCCGGCTTCCACAGCAGCTCTGCAGCCTTCGGAGCCGTCTGATTTTACTGTGTTGTGGATCACTTCATCTATGGTGACTTAACCCCCGGCTCCCTCCTTCTTTCCTAAGGGGGAAAGTGTCGTGTCTCTAAACTGGATTCCATCCTAGAAGAACTGGGCTATGAGCTGGAGGAGGAGGAAATTGAAGACCTGAAGAACCGTCTGCCAATTGAAGGTGAGCATGTCATTGTGTCTTCAGAGAAACCCTCAGCTCTTGTAATAAGCTTCCAGATATACTCATAGGGAAAGCTATTGTCCTGGACTGTCATGCTTTAGTCAGAGATGACTTGTATGGTAAGCAAGGAGTCCCACTTGCAAGGCCAAACCCTAATGCCACTGAGAACATTTAAAGGCCTAAGAAGCCAGAGAAATGAAATAAAGGATCATTTCAACAGGAAAAGAATACGGCGGGAGCCACGAATCGGAGCTCAGGAGAGTCTACCGCTGTTCCAGAGGACCTAAGGTTTATCTCCAGCGCCACCTTGGATAGCTCACGATTGCTCCTGGGGATCTGATTCAATTTTCTAGCCTCCAAATAATAATAATAATAATAATAATAATAATAATAATAATAATAATAA